CATCGTGTCCAATCCGTTCTTAAATTCACTTCACATCCCGCCGGCGGCGCGGAGGCGCACCTAGGGCGCTCCTCGGCGTTTCTGGGAGGCAGGCGGCGGCGGGGCTGGGATAGGTGGCGTGGAGGAGGCGGTGCCAGCTCGGGAGGGGCCCGGGAGCCGCGGAGGGGCAGTCCCGGCCTGGTGTGACAGCGCGTCCGGCAGCGGGCGGGGACCTGGCCAAGCTCCTGAATTCGTTTGCAGAGCCCTTGAGTGTTTAGTCGGGAAGATCAAAAGGCTGAAGAAGAAAAAAAGGTAATCAAGAACGTGGAGATGTCAACACACTGGTTAGATTAGTGTGTCCTTCAAAAAGGAATTTCTCCCAAATCAATGATTAAGTTTATTTATTTGGCTTGGGGTGAGGGTAAAGGAAAAGAAAAAGGAATAGACAAGTGCAATTTAAACCACCCCCCCCAAAGAAAACCACCAAACCCGTCGGTTTACGTGGATTACGACTCATAGTGACCCTATATGACAGCGTAGAACTGCCCCACGAGGTTTCCAAGGTCCTAATATTTACTGATCACAAGCTCTTTACTCCTCCGCGGACTGGGACCTTTGGTTGAGCAGCCCAGTGCTTAACCACTGCGCCGTCAGGGCTCCTTGGATATAATTTAACCAGGTACATAATGTGACCATTTTCCAGGTACAATTTGAAAATTTAAACCTCTTTTCCAAACCATATCTTCCCCCGCTGCCCCTCCCCCCGCCAAAAAGTGGGGGACATCTACCACATCTTTTGGTGACTCTTAATTCTTGGTAACATTTTCTCAAGACTTAAAACCCACCAGAGAAAAGATAAACTGAGGTCAAACTCAATCCCAATTGAGCCCAGGGAGTGAGATTAAATTATTTTCTTTTGTAATCTCTGTTTTCCATAATGATGATACTCAAAACCTTGAGGTTTCCCAGTAGATATTTAAGCTGAAAGCAACATTGTGCTTGTTCTTAGAGACAAGACTTTCTGTCTCTTGCCTCAGAATATTTCACAAAGTCACAGACAGAAAACAAACAAACAAACAAAACCAAGGCAGAGCAGACCCCTCTGGGGAACTTCCACCCAGGCAGCAAGCCCAGTGTCCCCTGCTGGGAGAGGAGCCGGGTGGTAGATAACATGCTTTCAGATATCCTGGTCGGGAGATCCCCGCACCCCAAAGCCAAGATGAAAATGAATAGCAAGACATTCTCTTCCATCCTTCACCCCACATGACTGGTTATTTTGAGAGAGCTGGACCTCAGTTTCTCCTGCTGTCTGTAGTGAGAGGATGAAATGCCACTGCTTGTAGAATTTCTTGAGGTCATTGTTTGAAGATGGAGTTAATGAATATGAATGTTAAATCCAGGGGAATTGAATATTTAGTAGGTAAGTCATCCGCAATTACCACTGAACTAGTTACAAGGCATTCCCAGTTTCAACTAGCAGTTCAAACACTTGGAGTGATGAGCTTGCTTCTGGGTTTCCTAGGTTGCTTCAGCCCGGTCCGACTCGACCTGACGGCATGTAACAACAACAACAACACATGCCAGGTAGTTTTCTAGGAACTTTTATCTACTGTACCCAAGGGGTTCTAAGCCTGGGGCCCATGGGTAGACTTCAAGGAGTATTGAAGCTCTTAGAAATTGTTAGCAATTATTTTCTGTGTGTTTTGTTTCTTTGTGTTTGGAGGAGACAGGTTATGGAGTTCACACAGTTTTCAAGAGTGTTTTGGCCCCAAAAGGGTAGGCATTCCTCTGTATATTCTTCTGGGATAATGGACACTTGTCTTGTGGGCTCCCTGCTTCAGATAATCAGGTATCCGCATGCCCAGCTGGATGGAGCCAGTCAGGCCTCCACAGGTCCTGCTGACTGCCTTTTAGGCCAGATCTAGCTCTCCTTCCTTAATTCACCCACTTTTATTGAGCTGTTGCTTTTGATATTATTACCTGCCTTTGAGTTGGGCCTGGACTCCCGGCAACCCCGTACACAATAGAACAAAAAGCTGCTCAGTCCTGTGTCATCCTTATGATAGGTTGCAGATCAGATCATGGTGATCATAGGGTTTTCATTGGCTGGTTTTTGGAAGTAGATTGCCAGTCTATCTTAGTCTGATCGCTCCTCTAAAACCTGTTTAACATCATAACAGCGTGCCAGCCTCTACTGACAGATAGGTGGTACCTTCACTGACAGACGGGTGGTGCCTGCACATGTGGCTGGGAATATACAGGATCCCTACATGGAAGGGAGAATTCTACCACTGAACTGCCCCCTTTATTGAGTTACTCACTCACTAACTGCCATAGAGTCGAAACTGACTCACAGCGACCCCTCCTTGGGTTTCTGAGGCATATCTTTACAGAAGTAGATTGCTCAATCTTCCATCCGAGGAGTGGCTGGTGGGTTTCAACTGCCAGACTTCTGGTTAGCAATCAAATGCCTTAGGCACTACGCCATATTAGCAGTGCTTCCTGTTATACATAGAGTTGGTCGAACATAATGCATTTACATACACTTGCTCATTCTGATTTTGGTAACTGGGAAACTCAGAAGGCAAATTCTGAGAGCTATGGAGGCTGTCTGACCCAAGCTAACTCCTAATTTTTCAACCTTTTTTCCAGGGCAGAAAATTTGCTTTAGGACAGAAATGGAAACTGGATAAGAAACTATTTGAATAATGTGTTCCAAAAATGGAAAGAATTGTCTGGCATTATATTATATACCCTGAAATAATACTGGTGAAGTAGAGAGTTCACCCACCACAAGGGGCTGTAGGTTAGACCCAGGGCAATGAATGCTTTATATGTATGGTTAACCAGTCTGTGGTCAGCAAGGTGCAGAGCTGGTGGCTACTTATTCTAGGGATAAACTAAGATGAAAGGGTAGAGGTGGGGTGGGGATTTGTTGTTGTTAGGTGCCGTCGAGTCATTTCCGACTCATAGTGACCCCACGCACAGCAGAATGAAACACTGCCCCATCCCGCGCCAGCTCCATGATCCCTGCTATACTTGAGCCCATCATTGCAGCCACCGTGTCAATCCATCTCGTTGAAGGCCTGCCCCTCTTTCGTTGACCCTCCACCCTACCAAGCATGACATCTTTCTCCAGGGAATGGTCCCTTCTGACAACGTGACCAAAATAGGTGAGACGAAGTCTGGCCATTCTCACTTCCAGGGAGCATTTTGGGTGCCCTTCCTCCAGGACAGATCTGTTAGTTCTTTTAGCAGTCCATGGTACTTTCAGCATTCTTCACCAGCACCACAACTCCAAAGCATCAACTCTTCTTTGGTCTTCCTTATTCATTGTCCAGCTCTTACATGCAAACGAGGCGATTGGAAAAATCATGGCTTGTGTCAGGTGCACCTTAGTCATCAGGGAGATATCCTTGCTCCTCAGCACTTGAAACAGTTCCTTTGTGGTTGACCTTCCCAATGCTACACATCGTCTAATGTCCTGACTGCTGCTTCCATTGGCATCGATTGTAGAACCAAGCAACGTGAATTCTTTGACAACGTCAATCTTCTCTCTATATATTGTGATGCTGCTCACTGGCCCAGTTGTGAGGGTTTTTGTTTTCTTTATATTGAGACGTAATCCATACTGCAGACTATTCTTCAACCTTCATCAGTAAGTGCCTCAAGTCATCCTCACTTCCAGCGAGCAAAGTTGTATAGTCTGCATATCTCAGGTTGTTAATGATTCTTCCTCCAATCCTGATGCCACATTTTTCTTCATATAGTCCAGCTTCTTGGATTATTTGCTCAGCATATAGATTGAATAAGTGTGGGGAAAGGATACAACCCTGACGCACTCCCTTTTTGATTTTAAACCATGTAGTGTCCCCCTGGTTCCATTCGATAGGGTGTAGGAAATGAGGTGTCTGTAGAAAAATGAATGTTCTGCATTCTCCCTTCTGTCATCACCTTGGAGATGACTCCAAGGCAGTGAAACCATTCATTCATTTATTCATCAAGAAATGAGACTTGACAGTAATGGCAGAGTTATGGGCTGGGAAAATAGGAGCTGACCTCCAGTGCAGACACTACCCTGCAACTGCCTACCTTCATTGTCTGGGACTTCATTCTTCACTCCTTAGGGCTGCCTTCCTCTCCCTTTCTCTCTTACCCCTTGTCCTGCTTCTGCACAAGATTTCAACACTAAACTTGCACAATGTCTTTGAAACCAAGCATAGTAGATTTTGATAAAACATGGAACAAACTTTTAACAATGATCAAAGCTGTTGTCATGATGGACTATGTCGAAAGAGCAACATGGAAAATCACTTTTCAGATATTTATGCTTTATGTGCGGCCTCCCCTGAACCCCTTGGAGGAATACTTTATACAGGAACTAAAACTATAAGAATCACCTGAGGATCTTGCTAAAATGTAGATTCTGATTCCATCTATCTGGGGTGGAAATACAAATTCTCAGCAGGGAGTCAAACCAGAATAAACCAGTTGGAAGCCCTGGCTTTGGATAGTTTCTTCCCAAAGTTAGGATGTTCAGAATTCAGCTGGACACTTGAGGGAATCCTTTGGAGACATCAGAAGTTCTTTGTACATTCCTCTCCTTTCTTGCGCTTTTCCTGTGCCCTACCTAGAACTCTAACTGCTTTGGCCTCAGTGGCCCCACACCTTTGTCTCCTCTACTCAGGGGGTCTGCCAGGCTCTGCCTAGATTTTCCTTCCATGTGTGTGGCAAGCGCAAAACTCTCTCCAGGCAATTAGAAGGCTCACCTCTATATTTCCTGTATCTCAGGGT